CCAAGGCCATGGCCACGCGCAGCCGAGGCGGTCGTTCTTGGAAAATAAACCGGAGTAACAGCGGATCAGCAGCCGGCGGCTTGCGGTAGTGGAGCGGTGGCAAGGGGCAGCGGGCAGCTGTTTCTTGCAGGCAGAACGGCCCAGCGCCGGCTCACTGGCAGCGAAATGAGCAAGGCTGGCTCGCGGGGCTCGGGAGCCGGCCGCAGTGGAGCGGAGGCGGCTCAGGCCAGGGAGCATCGGCGGCTCTGCCACGGCGGCACCGGTCAACACTCATTTGCGGCAAGACGGTTCAGGGCGAGGCGTCCTGACGGCGGCTCAAGGCCACTCGGATGGTTGTAGCGACGCGGCGCATTGCGCGGCAGAGGAAAGCAGCGCGCGTGGGCGCGAGACGGAAACCGCGGCGGCGGCCTGTGGCGCGGCCGGCGAGAAAGAAGGCGGTGGCTTGAGACCGCAGAGACAGCAGAAGCAGCTGTGTTCGCGGCGACTTGGTTTGCTGATCGGTCAGGCCTCTTGCCCACTGATTTGCTAGCTTCACGTGTGTGTATGTGGTAGTGCTAGTTGAACTCCAGGCCAATTGGACTTTGATCCTCTAACGTGATGGAAAAAGCAGCACTTTCGCTCCATGTAGTATATACGTACTGCAAGAGCATGCCAACATTTTTCTTTGTACTTGCTCCATCCAAAACCGCCAACGCATATGTACCGACGGTGTAGTTAACTCTTGTTCTGTTCCTCCAGCACGTTGAAGTTGACAGGGACCACTAGGGCGGCGAGCAACCACGCGCATCTGTCGAGCGACGACTTGTAGCCGAACACTTAGGCTGTCTTTGACATATTGATATAAACCGGACATAGGGACAGTGGGCTGCATGTTCGTCCCGGGTCTTCCGTTGCAGACAGATGTTGGTGCGAGCCTCGGCGGGCCGGCATAAACCATGATGCCCAGATAGCAGGGTGGATTCGCCGGTTTGATGTGTGGCAAGCTTTAAACTTTTGTCGGTTTGATGTGTGGCAAGCTTTAAACTTTTGTCATGACCGGACGACGGAAGTTATCAGTCAATCGATCTATGTACAGGAAATAGTACAATCCAGACGGTTTTCCTCGTGTGCACGTAGCAACCGTAGATGAAAAATCTTATACTACGCCTGGAGTACTAAACGGAGTAGTACGTGCTGATTGCTATGGATTCATTCATACGTACAGTGGTACTCATGGATTGATTTGTAGGCCTCGGTCCCCACGCCTCGGAGTAGTAGCGGCAGATTGGACTTGATCCTTGGGTCAACAACAGCAGATGTAGACGTCAAAAGCAGCCGCAATCGGACTCGACCATAGAATTTGAGGCGGTGGTTTCGACGGAATATTGCCATATAGTATGTTTGATCTGACGGAAACTCTTATCAGTCTCAACCACGACGAACTTTACGTGACATGTGTTGTCGCCCGAGCTTCTTCCAATTTTTGAGCGACGAACTTCAAAGTTGATATCGATCCTCCGCACCGTTTTTCGTCATCCGGCTGTTTGCAAGATTCTTCATGCCAGCTCTTCTTCATCCGGCCAAACGCGAACTCCTCGAACCCTAGATGAGAACCCTCCAAGAACTCAACACCACCGTGCGCGGGCCCCACGGTGGGCGCCAACTGTCGTGGAATTGTCACGGCAGATGTCCTTAGTGTGAGGACTTAGTCGCGAGGCCAACGCATCTATGCGGTAGTTTGAGAGGGGTTGGACGGAATCGAGAGACGCAACACAAGACAAGGATTTAGACAGCTTCGGGCCCCGAGAGACATCATCCGGTAATAACCCTACATGTTGTTTGTGGCTAGGTCTCATTATGATCATGAGGGAGTCGTCGTAAACCGTCTCACCTCTAGTTGTGTCTAGCCCTAGAGATTGTTTCTTGTTGCTTGTCCCTCTTTAGGGAGCCCTGCCCCTCCTTATATATGTTGAAGGGGCGGTTTACATGACTAGTCCTAGTTGGATTAGGATTACTCTATTACAAGTGGAGTCCTAGTCTTGCTTTCTTTGAAGGAGAATATTCCTTGTGCTTTCCTCATAAACCGGCCCACCATAACATGAACCGGCCTTCTGGGCCTTGGGCCTTGTCATCCGTCTGACCTGCCCGCCTGGTCACCAGTGAGTCATAATGTTCAGGCGGGTTACTTGTAAACCGCCAAGTCAGGGCGGGTCGCCAGTGAATCGCCAAATGTCAAGCGGGTGTCAAGTAAACCGCCAAGTCCGTCCGGGTCATATTTCCGGCCGGTTCATACCGCGAGGTATATACCCGACAAGAACCGTTCTTACCTACGCATCAAAACCACAAAGATAGTTCGTCAAGTTAGTGCTGTTTTAACCTTCTCAAGGACCGGGCGTAGCCACACTCGGTTCAACTCAAGTTGGAGAAACTGACACCCGCCAGCCACCTATGTGCAAAGCACGTCGGTAGAACCAGTCTCGCGTAAGCGTACACGTAATGTCGCTCCGGGCCGCTTCATCCAATAATACCACCGAACCAAAGTATGACATGTTGGTAAGCAGTATGACTTGTATCACCCACAACTCACTTGTGTTCTACTCATGCATATAACATCTACGCATAAAAACAGGCTCGGATGCCACTGTTGTGGAACATAGTAATTTCAAAAAAATTCCTACGCACACGCAAGATCATGGTGATGCATAGCAACAAAAGGGGAGAGTGTTGTCCACGTACCCTCGAAGACCGAAAGCGGAAGCGTTAGCACAACGCGGTTGATGTAGTCGTACGTCTCCACGATCCGACCGATCAAGTATCGAACGTACGACACCTCCGAGTTCAGCACACGTTCAGCTCGATGACGTCCCACGAACTCCGATCCAGCAGAGCTTTGCGGGAGAGTTCCGTCAGCACGACGGTGTGATGACGGTGTTGATGATGCTACCGACGCAGGGCTTCGCCTAAGCACCGCTATGATATTACCGAGGTGGAATATGGTGGAGGGGGGCACCGCACACGACTAAGAGATCAAGAGATCAATTGTTGTGTCTAGAGGTGCCCCCTGCCCCCGTATATAAAGGATCAAGGGGGAGGGGGCGGCCGGCCAGGAGGAGGCGCGCTAGGGAGGAGTCCTACTCCCACCGGGAGTAGGACTCCCTCCTTTCCTAGTCCAAGTAGGAGAGGGGAAGGAAGGGAGAGAGGAGAAGAAGGAAAGGGGGGCGCCGACCCCCCTCCTTGTCCTATTCAGACTAGAGGGGGAGGGGGCACGCGGCCTGCCCTGGCCGCCCCTCCTCTTATCCACTTAGGGCCCATGAGGCCCATTAACCCCCCGTGTGGTTCCGGTAACCCCCCAGTACTCTGGTATATGCCCGAAACCACCCAAAACTATTCCGGTGTCCGAACATAGTCATCCAATATATCGATCTTTATGTCTCGACCATTTTGAGACACCTTGTCATGTCCGTGATCATATTCGGGACTCTGAACTACCTTCGGTACGTCAAAACACAAAAACTCATAATACCGATCGTCACCGAACTTTAAGCGTGCGGACCCTACAGGTTCGAGAACTATGTAGACATGACCGAGACACGTCTCCGGTCAATAACCAATAGCGGAACCTGGATGCCCATATTGGCTCCTACATATTCTACGAAGATCTTTATCGGTCAAACCTCATAACAACATACGTTGTTCCCTTTGTCATCGGTATGTTACTTGCCCGAGATTCGATCGTCGGTATCTCAATACCTAGTTCAATTTTGTTACCGACAAGTCTCTTTACTCGTTATGTAATATATCATCCCGCAACTAACTCATTAGTCACATTGCTTGCAAGGCTTATATTGATGTGCATTACCGAGAGGGCCCAGAGATACCTCTCCGACAATCGGAGTGACAAATCCTAATCTCGAAATACGCCAACTCAACATGTACCTTCGGAGACACCTATAGAGCTCCTTTATAATCACCCAGTTAAGTAGTGACGTTTGGTAGCACACAAAGTGTTCCTCCGGTAAACGGGAGTTGCATAATCTCATAGTCATAGGAACATGTATAAGTCATGAAGAAAGCAATAGCAACATACTAAACGATCAAGTGCTAAGCTAACGGAATGGGTCAAGTCAATCACATCATTCTCCTAATGATGTGATCCAGTTAATCAAATGACAACTCATGTCTATGGCTTGGAAACTCAACCATCTTTGGTTAACGAGCTAGTCAAGTAGAGGCATACTAGTGACACTATGTTTGTCTATGTATGCACACATGTATTATGTTTCCGGTTAATACAATTCTAGCATGAATAATAAACATTTATCATGATATAAGTTAATAAATAATAACTTTATTATTGCCTCTAGGGCATATTTCCTTCACCGTTTACAAGGGGATTTTATTAGATCAGCGCGTGGTCGCCATACAGAAGTCCAAAATGGTCGATCAAATAGAGATTGATCAATTCTTCAACGAGCTTGCCATTATGTCGCAAATCAATCATCGAAATGTGGTAAAACTTTTTGGATGTTGTCTCGAGTTAGAGGTGCCTTTGCCTGTTTATGAGTTCGTATCCAATGGCACGTTGTCTGAAATCCTCCATGGTGACGATATCAGTTCTAGGATCTCGTTAACATGGGACGATCGTATTAGAATTGCTAGCGAGGCTTCAAGTTCTCTTGCTTACCTTCATTCTGCTGCTTCCATACCAATCTTTCACAGAGACGTGAAATCTGCCAATATACTCTTGACTGATAACTTCAGTGTAAAGGTTGCAGACTTCTGAGCTTCAAGATCCATCTGTTGATGAAACTCGTGTATTCACGGTAGTGCAAGGTACATTTGGATACCTGGATCCTGAGTATTACCACACAAGCCACCTAACTGAAAAGAGTGATGTTTATAGTTTTGGGGTGATAATCGTTGATCTCCTTACAAGGAAAAAGTCGATCTTCCTTGATTCCCATGGTGAAAATAAAAACCTATGCCATTACTTTGTTCAAAGGCAACAATATAACACCATCATGGAGATCGTCGATGTTCAAGTTCTTGAGGAAGGCACGGAAAGGCAGATTGACGAGATGGCCTCCCTTGCGATGGCATGCTTAAAGCATAGAGGAGAGGAGAGGCCTACCATGAAAGAAGTGGAGCTAAGACTACATGTCATGAGAGGGAAGATGGTGATGAAGAGAAATCATGAGTTAGAAAGGCATGGTGAAGCTGTGACATTGTTACCTTCAAATTATTCCAACAATTTTAGCACTAGTTTTGGGGCTGCTAATTCATCAAATCAATGTGTCACTCGATGTTGTACAATGGAGCAAGAACTAGTTTCTTGGACGGACCTACCTTGCTAAATTGTCACATTTTCCCTTCTTTTCATAGAAAAAATGCATAATTTTTTCCTTTGTTCTACGCTCTAAAATACCAATTAGATGAACTTTTCTGCTTTGTTCTATGAACAAAAATAATCTGGGTTTTTTGTAACACAAATATGATTGTATACCAATGTTGGCAACGCTCCAAGAATCATGTCCTCTCCAAAAGTTCGTATCAACTCCCTATTGTGATCTCTCTTCCCGAGACATGATGAACTCTCCATTTGGCCTATTGTTGTCCACACCATGGCGATGACAACCCGCAAGGTTGAGATATCCGAATTAGGGAACGTTTGGATCTCAGGCAAGCGCTCGCCTAGCCTGGCCCAGCAAGGAAGCGAAGCATTTGGTTCTTAGGCGAGCACGCCTCGTTACCAGCGGTTTCCACCTTTTTCGCGTTTGAGCGAGCGAGCCGATTTCGTTCGCCTCCGTGGGCAAGGCTGGCCATGCCTAGCGAGGCAATCAGGCGAGGGATCCAAACGTTCCCTTAATAGTCTCGACAAAGAAGCATCTCATGTAATGTGATTGTAACGATGTGATCTAGTAAGCTTATCAAGTGAAGTTTATTCTGAAGAAGGTTGTGTAGGCATTTTTTCCGATAAAGGGTTCTTCATTGAATTGAAATATCGAGTTGATACAATCGCATCGTAGAACGCCCGGCCTCTGCATAACTAGATGCACGCATCCAACAAGTCCAAAAACCGAAAATAAAAATGAAAAGGCTCAAACAGCGAGTACGACAAAAACAAGAAAAAGCCAGCCTAAGACGTGGTTGATCCTATCCGAAGATCACACCGCCATCCATGGGGGTAGAAAACCTCCCTGGCTGAACGCTCCAGCCGAGTAGACGCCATCATAAAAAGGTCTTTGTCCTCCGGCCTCTGCAGGATAGACCACATGCGGAACCATCGCGAACATATATGAATAACCTGCATAGGAGATGAAACACATTTATGGTTAAAAACTATGTCATTCCAGATGAGCCACATAGCCGAACATAAGGTAGCCGCCCCCACTAGAATGTGTGCAAAAAATTGTTTATCTATTCCCCTCAACCAATTGCCGAACATGTTCCGTGCACTATCTGGGGGATAAAGATTCGAAGCTATTTGAACAATGACCCATACAGACCGAGCAAACTTGCACTCAAAAAATAAGTGTTAATGGACTCGTCATGATGGCAGAAAACACATTTTTTGCACCCTTGCCAGTTGCGTCGTGCCAAATTATCCCTAGTTAAGATCACCCCTATATTGAGAAACCAGAGGAATATCTTCACTTTTAGAGGGATTTTGAGCTTCCACAATTTCCTGTTATCAATCGGAACCTCGTTATGGACCAATGCATCATACATGGACTTGACTAAAAACTTGCCATTCTAATGCAATTTCCATCTAAAGATATCCAGTTCCTCCGACAGCTGGATGGCCCCCAGACGACTGAGCAATTCATTCCAGGCTGCCAGACGAGGTCCTAGAAGATCCCTACGAAAAGAAATATCAAGATTTTCTTGACCCAAAGCTTGTTTGATCGTGACAAACTTATGGCTAACAATCGGTACAAGCTTGGGTATTGCACACTAAGCGGATTGGTCCCCAACCAGGTATCTTCCCAGAAACGGACTTGGGAGCCGTCCCTGACCGAGAATGTTCCAAATTGAAATAAGAATTCTTTAGCTTTCATCACCCCACTGCAAAAACGAGAATCGCCAGGTTTCCGGTACACTTGAGATATTGCTTTGGAACCCACATGTTTTTACGATGATTTCCCGCCAAACACCATGCTCATTGAGTAGTTTATACACCCATTTGTTGAGAAGTGCGATGTTTTTAATCTCAAGGTCATGGATTCCGAGACCCCCTTGGCTTTTAGGTCGACATAATAAATTCCACCTAGCCAGATGATATTTCTTGGTTTCATTATTACTCTGCCACAAAAATCTTGATCTAAAGTAATCTAGGTGCTGAAGCACTCCTTTTGGAAGATGGAAGAATGATAACATGTAAAGTGTTGGAAATATGCCCTAGAGGCAATAATAAAATGGTTATTATTATATTTCCTTGTTTATGATAATTGTCTATTGTTCATGCTATAATTGTATTAACTAGAAACCGTAATACATGTGTGAATACATAGACCACAACATGTCCCTAGTGAGCCTCTAGTTGACTAGCTCGTTGATCAATAGATGGTTATGGTTTCCTAACCATGGACATTGGATGTCATTGATAACGGGATCACATCATTAGGAGAATGATGTGATGGACAAGACCCAATCCTAAGCATAGCACAAGATCGTATAGTTCGTATGCTAAGACCTTTTCTAATGTCAAGTATCATTTCCTTAGACCATGAGATTGTGCAACTCCCAGATACCGTAGGTATGCTTTGGGTGTACGAAATGTCACAACGTAACTAGGTGGCTATAAAGGTGCACTACATGTATCTCCGAAAGTGTCTGTTGGGTTGGCACGAATCGAGACTGGGATTTGTCACTCCGTATGACAGAGAGGTATCTCTGGGCCCACTCGGTAATGCATCATCATAATGAGCTCAGTGTGACTAAGTAGTTAGTCACGGGATTATGCATTACGGAACGAGTAAAGTGACTTGCCGGTAACGAGATTGAATGAGGTATTGGGATACCGACGATCGAATATCGGGCAAGTAACGTACCGATTGACAAAGGGAATTGTATACGGGATTGATTGAATCCCCGACATCATGGTTCATCCGATGAGATCATCGTGGAACATGTGGGAGCCAACATGGGTATCCAGATCCTGCTGTTGGTTATTGGCCAGAGAGATGTCTCGGTCATGTCTGCATGGTTCCCGAACCCGTAGGGTCTACACACTTAAGGTTCGGTGATGCTAGAGTTGTTATGGGAAATAGTATGTGGTTACCGAAGGTTGTTTGGAGTCCCGGATGAGATCCCGGACGTAACGAGGAACCCCAGAATGGTCCGGAGGTGAAGATCGATATATTGGACGAAGGGTATTGGAGTCCGGAATTGTTCTGGGAGTAACGGGTGACGACCAGGGTGACCGAAAGGTGTTTCAGAGGCCCCGACAAGCGCTGGGGGCCTTATGGGCCAAGGGGAGGGGGCACACCAGCCCACTAAGGGGCTGTGCACCCCTCCCAACCCCTCTCACGTAACCAGGAGAGGTGGGGGCGCCTCCCCTAGGGCAGCCGCCCCTCCCGGCTTGGGGGGCAAGTTTCCTAGGGGTGGGGGTGCCCAAACCCATCTAGGGTTTCCCTTGTGGCCGCCACCCCTCCCCTAGGGAACCCTAGGGCGCCTCCTCCAACCCCCTTCCCCTATATATAGTGAGGGAGAGATAGGGCAGCCGCATCCTTCCCCTGGCACAGCCCCTCCCTCCTCCAACTCCTCCTCCTCCGTAGTGCTTGGCGAAGCCCTGCCAGAGAACCACGAGCTCCATCACCACCACGCCGTCATGCTGCTGGAGTTTTCCCTCAACTTATCCTCTCCCCTTGCTGGATCAAGAAGGAGGAGACGTCCCCGGGCTGTACGTGTGTTGAACGCGGAGGCGCCGTCCGTTCGGCGCTTAGATCGGAATTGACCGCGATCTGAATTGCTGCGTGTACGACTCCACCAACCGCGTTCTTATAACGCTTCCGCATCATGATCTTCAAGGGTATGAAGATGCACTCCCCTCTCTCTCGTTGCTAGTCTCTCCATAGATTGATCTTGGTGATGCGTAGAAAATTTTGAATTTCTGCTACGCTCCCCAACAGTGGCATCATGAGGTAGGTCTATTGCATAGATTCTATGCACGAGTAGAACACAAGTAGTTGTGGGCGTTGGTTTGTTCAATATGCTTACCGTTACTAGTCTTATCTTGATTTGGCGGCATCGTGGGATGAAGCGGCCCGGACCGACCTTACACGTACACTTACGTGAGACAGGTTCCACCGTCTGACATGCACTTGTTGCATAAGGTGTCTAGCGGGTGCCAGTCTCTCCCACTTTAGTCGGATCGGATTCGATGAAAAGGGTCCTTATGAAGGGTAAATAGCAATTGGCATATCACCGTTGTGGCTTTTGCGTAGGTAAGAAACGTTCTTGCTAGAAACCCATAGCAGCCACGTAAAACATGCAACAACAATTAGAGGACGTCTAACTTGTTTTTGCAGGGTATGCTATGTGATTTGACATGGCCAAAAGAATGTGATGAATAATATATGTGATGTATGAGATTGATCATGTTCTTGTAATAGGAATCACGACTTGCATGTCGATGAGTATGACAACCGGCAGGAGCCATAGGAGTTGTCTTATTTATTGTATGACCTGCGTGTCAATGATAACGCCATGTAATTACTTTACTTTATTGCTAACCGTTAGCCATAGTAGTAGAAGTAATAAATGTCGAGACAACTTCATGAAGACACGATGATGGAGATCATGGTGTCATGCCGGTGACGAAGGTGATCATGTCGTGCCTCAAGATGGAGATCAAAGGCGCAAGATGATATTGGCCATATCATGTCACTTTATGATTTGCATGTGATGTTTGTCATGTTTACATCTTATTTGCTTAGAACGACGATAGCATAAATAAGATGATCCCTCATAAAATTTCAAGAAAGTGTTCCCCCTAACTGTGCATGTTGCGAAAGTTTGTTGTTTCGAAGCACCACGTGATGATCGGGTGTGATAGATTCTAACGTTCACATACAATGGGTGTAAGCCAGATTTACACACACAAAACACTTAGGTTGACTTGACGAGCCTAGCATGTACAGACATGGCCTCGGAACACAAGAGACCGAAAGGTCGAACATGAGTCATATAGTAGATATGATCAACATGAAGATGTTCACCGATGATGACTAGTCCGTCTCACGTGATGATCGGACACGGCCTAGTTGACTCGGATCATGTATCACTTAGATGACTAGAGGGATGTCTATCTAAGTGGGAGTTCATTAAATAATCAGATGAACTTAATTAGCAT